GTTTGCAGTGCCCACAGGACAGGTGAGTTCTTGGACATGCTCACCTACATTTTGAAGTTTTTATTCCAGAGGGTTACAAGGCAGCATGGAAGCAAGCAGCAGGTATATTGGGTAAAGCAGGGGCTGAGTGCTCCCAAAAGGGAGGAATCTGAGCATCTTGAAGAAATGTTGGACCGAAGCAAGACAGGAACTCAGCAGGGCAAACAGCAAACCCTGTAGCTCCATGTGTGATGTCACGGGGCTTAGATGGCTACACCTCTTTAGCTTTGCTGCCTGTAACAGCGTTCTCTCGGGATGGCTCCACTCCTTATACGCAACTCTCCTTGGCAAATATCCCATAGCTCTGGTACCTCTAACATCTCCAACAAAGTCAAGCTTCCCTTTCACAGCTTCTAGCAATGGCCTCTCAGGGTCTCTTGCCCTCTCAGGACCTTCATGCAGGGACTGCCTTGCCGCATATCACCTAGCCTCAGTGACTCTCCTTAAGCGAGGAGGAAGATTTCACAGAACCCTACGGACAATACTTCCAAGTTTGGTTGCCTACTTAGGAAGGGTCCCCTTGACACAGATTTCTACAAAGTTTTGCTTGTTTTCGTTTTGTTTTGTCTCTCTACATAGCCCTGGCTACTCAGGAATTCGCTATGTATAACTAGGCCGGCCGTGAAATCACAGAGATCTACGTGCCTCTGCCTCCTAAGTGTTGGGATTAAAGGCGTGCGCCACGCTGCCTTGCTCAAAATGTGTAGCCCAGGCTGCCCTGGAACTCTCGAATCTCCTGTCTTCTACTTGTGTGCCCCACCACAACCAGCTGCTTTAACGTGTAAAAAAACCAACACTCCTTTGGCCTTTCCTTTTACAAATTGGGACTTTGCTGGTTGGGGTCTTTCCCCAAGGGTATCCTCTTTATTCCAGTGCAGATTTGGCTTTTCTATCAAATCTCTGTTAGCACAGACCCAGCTCCAGCATTCAATTCCTGGTGCTCTTTTTCTCCTCAAGCTCTGCATCTTGTATTTATTGCCCCCACTGGCTGTTTTTCTTTGTAGACTTGCATTAGAGTGATTGTAAAACAAAACCATGCAACAGAATTGGGCTGTCTTTAAATGTCCCCCAGTGAGGGGACCCTGCAGATGTCCAGGTAGGGAAGCAACCTTGAAGAGATAGAAACTCATCTCAGGTGGTTTTTTCTCAACAAATCTAAATGCAGTACAATCATTTAATACGATTTCTGGTGCACAAGGAAGCATAATTACATAGGAACTCGACTCGGGGTGCATGTCATTTTCCCCAAAAAGATGGGTCCTAGAGATAGTCTGCCCATACTAGCTTAAGGGCCTAGGGAAAGCTCTGGTCTGGTCCTGGTCTTACAGATAACTTAGACATCATTTGGGCTATTAGTGGCATCTGGTTCTTGTTGAGAGAGCTTGTGGGAGCTTGGGGAGCCTCTGCCTATACAGATAATCTAAGGGTCATTTAGACTATTTTGTATCTCTGGTCCTGGTTGTGGGAGCTTGATATGACCTGGCCCAACAGATAATGCAGATCACTAGGCTATTAAATCACTTCCAGTTCCAGACCTTCTTTCTGCATGGAAGAACAGGTTCTTCTTACATTTTTTCCATTATAAAGACAATCCTGTATGCTGAACATTCCTGGTTTCCCTGGTGGTCTGTAGGCACAAGGACCTTCGTGTTGTGCTCCTAATACTCTACAAAAGAAATGAGTGTTATGTTTCAATTTAACCTCAGGGAAATTATTTTTCTTCTTCTTCTTTTTTTTTTTTTTTTGGCACCGGGCTTTTGGACCTCCAAAACCATGAGTCAAACTCTCTGGGCTCACAAGGTTACTCTAGTCCATGTCTGGCCTTTAGCAAGTTGCTTTACATCGGTGCACGCCTTTAATACCAGCATTCGGGAGGTAGAGGCAGGTGGATCTCTGTGAGTTCGAGACCAGCCTGGTCTACAAGAGCTAGTTCCAGGACAGTCTCCAAAGTCACAGAGAAACTTTGTCTCAAGACCCTGCCTCCCCCCAAAACCTCCCAAACTTGGCATTAGTATACTTTAATTGTACAGATAGATTGTGACATTTTCATGTGTACATAGAAGATGCTTTGGTCGTATTCACTCTCTCAAATACCTTATCATCTGCCTCTCCATGATTATTTGAACTCCTTTCTTTCTTCCCTGTAAGTCCCAATCATTTTACCTTTGTGAATTTTTCCCTAGACTTCACATAAGTGAGAGAAAACACATGACTCTGGGGTTCTCTGAGCCTGCTTTATTTCATTATGCTTGTGGCCCATACTAGCCTTGAACTCTGAATCCTCCTGCTTCTGACCTCAGAGTGTTGGGACTAGATGTGTGTGTCACTGTGCCTATCTGGCTTATTTTGTTTAACATGATCTCCAGTTCTGCCTGTTTTCCTGAAAATGCCATAATTTTATTACTTATGGCTAAATAACACTTTTGTTGTTTATGTATTACACATTTCTTTATTCATTCATGCACTGATGGGTATCCCGGCTGATTCTATGGCTGTTGTGAATAGTGCTGTGATGAGCAGGGTATTGAGGTATGTTTATTGTATGCTGTCCTTAGTTGTTTGGAGAATATCCTCAGGAGTAGTAGAGCTGGAGTCTTTTCAGGAAAATCCATATTGGTTTCCACAGTTGCTGTTCTAGTTTATATTCCCAACAACAGTGCTTAAGAGTTCTTCCTCCCACATTCTCAGCAGCATTTTATCCGGTCTCGTTTTCTTGATGATAGCCATTCTGATTCAGGAGGAATGGAGTCTCAAGATGGTCTTGACTAGCATTTCCTTAATGGCTAAAGACATGCAGGGTTTTGTTGTTGTCTGTCTCCATGGTTTGACTCTGTATGACTTCCTATGCACATGTATTTGTGGAAGGAGCAAACAGTTAAATACAGCGTTTAATGTAGTTAGCCAGTATTTGCATATTAATTGGGGAATTTGCTTTCAGAGGTATTCAGAGAAAGAAAGAGCAGGGTGTTGGTGGCACATGCCTGTAATCCCAACACTCGGGAGGTAGAGGCAGGTGGATCTCTGTGAGTTCGAGGCCAGAATGGTCTACAAGAGCATTCCAGGACAGGTTCCAAAACTACAGAGAAACACTGTCTGGAAAAACTGAAAAGAAAGAAAGGAAGGAAGGAAGGAAGGAAGGACCTGTGTTTGGCAACCATCCACTGGAACACTGGTGACCTACCAGGGGTCGCACCCTTAAACTAGCTCCTCTTCTTCTTCAAGAAGCTGACAACTGTGAATAGCTCCTCAGTTATGGGTGGGGGCTCACGAGCCACTCCCCTTCCAAGGTTGGTCTTTTTCTAACCTTTATTTATTTTGTAAGTATGAGTGTTTTGTCTGGATGTGTATCTCTGCAGCATGTATGAGAAATGCCAGAGAAAGCAAAGGTCTCAGATCCCCTGAAGTTACAGACGGTTGGGAGCCACCATGTGGGTGCTGGGAATCGAACCTGGGTCCTCTGGAAAAGCAGCCAGTACTCTTAACTGCTGAGACATGTCTCTAGCCCCAAGGTTTGGTGTGAGGTGAAGGATAATATACCCAAGAGTGAAGATACCCACAGAGGCCAAAAGAGGACCTTGGATTCTGTGGATCCAGAATTTCAGGCAGCTGTGAGATACTCAGCATGGGTGCTGGAAACAAGCGGGGTCCTCTGCAAGAGCAGCGTGCACTCTGTAACTACAGCGCCATCTCTCTAGCTCCTTAAGTTTGGTCCTTTTAGTCATGGCCCAGACCTCTTGAATAGTTTGTAAGTGAGAAAGAAAATCCGTGTGTGTATGTGTGTGTATAAATATGCTGCGAAAATCCGTGTGTGTATGTATGTGCATAAATATGCTGCGAAGCTCAAACCCATAGAAGAGTTGTCTTTCCCTGGAAGCACAATACTATAAATATGAGAAATCTTTCCCAAAGGGAAAGCACAGTGAGGAGCAGCAGCCTCTGGACTTCACAGCTGCCTGCATCCTATCCAGTGCACGAGCTGGCCCGGGAGAAGGGCAAGTGGGGGCCAGAAGGCCAGCTTTTGCATAATACCAAAAAGAACCTGAGTCACAGAGGGAAGGCCTCCATTAGCCCTCTGCTCCTCAGCTCTTGGTTCTCCTTCAACTTACCCTGGGCACCAACGGCTACATTATCAGAAGAGAGGGTGGGCCAGGGACTTGCCTGGGTGGATGACGAAGACAACTGTCACCTGCTGATGTGTTGCATGTGTGACAGGGGCTGAGGGGGCAGTGGTGCAGGAAGGAAGGCTATGTTCTATAATGGAGAAGGAAGCATGTATACATGTCCCTATGTGTGAGTGTACATGTGTACACATGCATATGTGAAAACCCCAGTTATAAAAACATCCAAAGGAGCTCTAGGGGTGCAGCTGAAGGCCTTAGGTGTCCCTCGTCACGGTCAGGCTCAAGGTGGGATAGACACAGGTGGAGAGCCCTAAGGCATCACCAGGGTAGCTGTGGTAGGGAGGACCTAAAGTCCCACGTAAGCAAGAGACGTTGGCCTTGTGACAGGAAGATGTCCCTTCCACCTCCACTCCCCCAGTTCCTAAAAGACACCGAACACGTTCCCTATAGTTCCTCCAGCTTTTAACCAACTAATCATTGCAAGGAAGAAAACACAAAACTTAAAACGAAGGGAGGATGGAGGGAGGGGAAATTAAAAAAAAAACAAACCCCCAGTTACTCTTGTGCCAATATCTTGCACAAGCCTGGAGTTCTAAAGAAATTAAGACAGGCTGGGAATGGGGCTTGGGGAAGGAGATAGAAGAGTTCCTGAGGCCTGAAAAAAGAGGTAAACACATTGCAGAACTAGATGAGAGTTTCATTAGACTCTAACTAAAAACAGAGAGGTGTGATACTATTTCTAGCCAGTTTCCCTATCACGATAGTCATGTAACAAACCAAGGCAATGTCTGTCTTGAGCCAGACTCACAGAGTCCCCTGGCCCTGGCCCTGACCCTGGCCTCAGTACAGTGTCTCTGCATTGCTGCTCCGGGGCCAGCTGATCTTCTCAATATTCTTAAGGGTTACGTAATATAGAGTGACATACTGATTCCTCAGCTCTGAGATGATGAGATGGAGGCTGATGGATTCTTTCTCATCAATCTCTGTGACAGTGCAGCGATAGTCTTTCACATGGGGATATTTAGCTACTTTCGAAACCAATTTGGCTCTTGTAATATAATATCTAGAAATTTGGTCCAGATAAGATGCAGCTTCACTCTCGACAGTTCTTGGTTCTGCAACTGTTTCCTCCTGAATCGACACCCCGAAGTTGTTCCCATCTTCTATTCTGGGAATCAAGAGCTATACCCGCATTTTGACTATTACAATTCTCGATCAGCAGCCGAATCTCAGGTTTTACTTTCTCAATAATGTCCACTAGCTGCTGGTTGCTTTCCAGCATCCCGTTGGGCACCACAAACACCTTGGTTCCTTGGAAGGCCTCTTCCCATTCATCCAACCTGCGCTTCTTGTAAGTGGGACCATCCAGTCCATCGTGGCTATTGGTGAGGAGAATGGGGTCGGGGACTGGGAGATTCATGTCTGAGTGGATCTGAGTTAGGTCGTGGATATTTAGGATTGGGTCCTTCAAAAAGCCATCAAGTTCTAATAACTTCATTGGGAAAATATATGTCACCAAGTCTGCCTCACTTGTGATCCGCTCCCTGAAAGAATCAACCTTGAGCTTCACTTCCTGATCCACCTTCAGTAAGGAGGCCAAGGCCAGGCAGGGCCGTGTTTGCTCCGCTGGGTGCTGGAGGTGCTGTGGACTCTGGGGGGGGGGCTGAGGAATCTCCACTGCCTTCGCTGGCTGGCTGGCTCACTGCTCGCTCATTCCCTCCCTCCATGCCGGCCAGCCACCTGCCCACCTGCCGCCTGCCACCTGCCGCCTGCTAGCTCTCTCGCTCACCCTCCCCGGCTTTCTTGTTCTTTACTGCTAACACATTAAAACTTAATGGATAGTAAATTCCTACACCCTTATATTTCTTATAAGGTGTTCATCTCAAAGCCATGCACGAACTCTATGGTAACAGAAAGTTTCTCTTGGGTTTGAGTCTCAACGGTGAGTCTGTTTCAAGCCCTGATTTGGACACAAAACTTAACTTTCCTGAGTCACAAGTGAGCTAAGGTATCCTGGTTCCCGTTCATGGCAGACAGTAGAGTGGTGCCTCAGAAGTCCATATAAATCACACATTCCAGCCTCCACTGCTACCCTCGGCCTGCACAGGGTGCCTGTTTGCTGCTGGCTGGCTTTCCTGGTCTCTGGGATCTGCTTTCAGACCTAGCTTCCACGGGCTGCACAGGGTGCCTGTTTGCTGCTGGCTGGCTTTCCTGGTCTCTGGGATCTGCTTTCAGACCTAGCTTCCACGGGCTGCACAGCCTTCTGGTCCACTCCCCATGCTATCTATACTCCTGCAGTTTTTTTCTGTTTCACTTTTGAGAGTGGCTAGTGCTTCTAAATGATGACATACATTCTCACCTTGTGTTAGTAGACAGGGTGGAATATGGAATGAGCTAAACTTGTCTAGGGAGCACATTCAAGCTGACCCCCTGGCCCGAAATGATTTCCCACTACTCAATGATAGAAAAGAACACCTCATTTCCTCTTTTAAAAAACTTACTGCTTCTGTTTGAAAAGAGAGTTACAAGTGGCCAATAGACATATGAACACATACTGCCCTTATATGTATTCAAAGGACTCTAAAATGGATGCTTATAGTTAGCCATTTTGATGTATCACACTGAAATAGTTATAAACCTAATAGACATCTTAGAGACAATGGGTTAAATTCTCTGTCCACAGAGACTAGGGGACCAGACTTAACTTTGTCAGTGAATGGTGAGGAGGGAAAAGCTTTAGGAAAGTAATGGGTTCAATTTAATATATTGGTCTTGGAGAATGAGAACTACACCCAGCTCGAGACAATGAAAGGTTGTAGCATTCTTAAAGAGTTGTTGTGCCCCAGAAAGGTGACCCTTTCCTCAAAAAAGACTGTCATCCCTGGCTGAGCTAAGGAAAGTAAGTTGATATCACAAGTCTGGAACTGAACAAAAGCCTCAAACCATGCCTAACCCTCTCACCCACATCTAAAACAGTAGCTTTAGAAACTGATCATGAATATGCCACATATTTATCCTCAACGACAGCTGTCACTTCATCGCCTATAAAATTATATACCAACAAACAAAAATCCCAGAAAACAGAAAAACTGTGAACAGCAGCGAACGGAATGACAAAACACTGAGAAATTCAAAATGCCTTCATACAAGGGGCCGAGCCAACTTTGAATGCAGAAAACAAAAACAGTAATGTGGACTGATAAGCAAGAGGTGAGAGGAACGAGGAATAGGATTCAATACAGCTCCGTTTCACTCCCCCGCACGCCTCCGCGTTCATCCAAGCCTCGGCAGCCTTTGCTCGGTGTACAGTCAGCGACGAGAACGTGTGCGCGCTTCGCTCTTCTCGCTTTCTTCACACTTTGCTCTGTTTATCCTAGAACTGCCTGATTCCTGTCAACTTGCTCTCCTCTGACTCATCACTTAGATTAGAAGTTTCTGGAGGTGCTATGGAGAGAAGGGAGCCCATCTCTGCATGCCCCCAGCTGCTCCCATAGGGAGCTCCATTTGGAGCAATCCAGTTCCCCAAAGCCCAGGCTTTCTCATCTGAGTCCTGGACCCCACAGAGAGCGGACCTTTTTACCTTTGCTAGTTCCCTGTTTTCCAGCCTACCTTTCTATTCCTACACAGGGACAGGGGTCCAGGAAATGTCCTACTTCATGGTCTATTTTAGACTCTGCCTCTTTTGTGGACGCAGGTCAAGGGTGTGGGACTATGGGAGTGGGACTATGCTGAGATTCACAATGCACAGCGTTTGGCACAGTGCAATCCCCTGGCAGAATCTCCTTGGAAGTCAGTTCCCATCACTCGGTTCCCTTTCCTCCTAGTAACTAGGCTGCTCCATGACCTGATGACAAATGTCGAACAACTTTTACACCATTGAGTGCCCATGAGCACATGGAGGTCACTTAAAACACCAATGCATGCTGTGTGTGGTATACTGTGCTGTACCACTGGCCCGGTAAGCCTGGTTCGGGGTTTTCTGGGCACCACCTATCACCATTGCAGGCCAAGCCTGCCTGGCTCCTCTGGTTTGCTGGACCATGTGATCTGAGAGTACAACCTAAGGAGGTGAGCAGGATAAAGAGTAGGCTAAGGGACTAGCATCTGTGGTTGTACTGGCAGATGCCACGGACTCACATCCAGTGCTTCTAGGAGTGCTGTCTTTGTTCTCTGACCGCGGGGAGCCCTTGGAGGCATGCTAGGAGTGTAGCCTGACTCCCTAAACTCAGGCTGCACTCCTCAGCTGGAGCATGTCTATACAGTGTATGGTGGACACTTCTCCCCATGCTCCGCTGTCTTCCTTCCCAGGCTTCTGGCCTGTTCCAGGGGAACACCAGCCTTGAGCTCACCCTTCAGTCTCCCTGTATTCCTCCCTATCCCACCCTCCCCTTGAACCTTACTCCCTCTATCTTCTGTCTTTCCTAACTTCTTCCGGGGTGGGGGAGTTTTTCAAGATAGGGTTCCCTGTGTACCCCTGGAACTCTGTAGTTCAGGCTGGCCTCAAACTCAGAGATCCCCTTCCCTATGCCTCCCAAGAATGCCAGTACCACCTGGCTTCCCCAACTTCTTAATCCCATCTATAGTGTTTTTGTTTTGTTTTGTTTTGTTTTGTTTTCCCAGACAGGGTTTCTCTATGTAACAGGCCTGGATGTCCTGGAACTCGCTCTGTAGACCAGCCTGGCCTTGAATTCACACAGATCTGACCACCTCTGCCTCTCGAGTGCTGGGATTAAAGGTGTGTGACACCACTGGGTGGCTCATCTAGTTTTTTGATTGCCAACTGCCTTCTTACCTCAACCCTGTAAGTCCTGCTTTCTCTGGACAGTCCAGGGGGAGTGTTACACTGAATAGACAGACTTGATCCTAAGGCCAAGAGAAAGCAGGCATATGGCATCATTGCCTTATGGGTGGTTTATCTTTCCAGGAATCTCTGACCTGCAGAAAACCACAATTACACTTCCCTTGAAGTTAACCCTTGAAGTTCAACTTTAGTTAAGCATTTTGACACCAGTCTCTAGAAGCAAAAAGAAGACTTATGTTTCTTGACCAAGTGGAACATTCCAGGCCTGGCCCCCACTTGGTGCAGGGGGAGCAGAGGGTGGTGGTCCTGTCAAGGGGGGTCTAGCAGGAGGCTCTGATGCTGCAGTTTCCCTGCTCAGCTCTGGATGGAGCCTGCTGTCCTGTACACCCCCACCTCCCCACCCAGGATATGGTGTGGCACCCAAGAAAAACAGGAGGCACCCAGGCAGTATCTGCTGTACTGAACTCAACGGTTTTCTTTTAACGTTGGGAGACAAGTGACAACACAGAAACTGCATCTGTGACCAGACAGCGCTGGCGGTGCAGAGTTCATCACACATGGGAAGGTACGTGCGTCCAGGTCAAGCCTCTGAATTGCTTGAAGCTCCGCTGCCTGCAATACAGACTGCCAGTAAAGAAAGTGCATCGTGACCCCGTCACACAGCCAGGGACCATGAGGGAGCAAAAGCAGCCAAGGGGGCGGGGAAAGCAGAAGCTCACAGACTACTCAGGGCCAGAACGGGCCAGGAACACAGAGCTGAGTCCTAGTTCCAGGCCCATCTCCTGGCTGACACCAGGGGACCCAGAGTGCGGCCCAGTGCCAGTGCCTCTGACCTCACAGCAGAGCCCATGCCTGGGCACGAGCAAGGAGGGGCTCTCCTGGAGCCGGAGGTCTACGAGGGCAGGCCTCAGACTCCACGCTCTTTCTCCCAGTAGGTCAAGGCCCTTCTTCTACAGGGAGGGCAGAACGCCTGTGACGGTCCTCCTCAGGTGTTCCCCCCAACACAAACATGTTCACACACGTGTGTATACACACACAGACCACTCAGTGCAACGTGGCAGAAGCAAGACAGCTATCAGGCCTGGGCTATGGCAGTCAGCAGAGACCATGTGGCAGCCACCTTCCAGCTGTGGCCTTCAGCCGAGACAGACTGGGACTGTCATTTGGGTCCCTGACTCCAAGCAGGCAATTGGGCCACTCTGTCCCTGGAGCTGCAGGTTTCCGTGTCGGGAGTACAACGCATGGACCTTGACATGCCAGTGTCAGAGAAGCTGGGGGAGTGTGGGATAAGCAGCAGAACTATCTCCTGGGCCATCCTTGGGCATCTGGAGGCTCTAATCTATGCAGGGCCTCCTGGACAGACTGTCCTCAGCCTATCTGGATAAGACTTCCCCATGTGATGCCAGGGATGGGGCTGCAGGCCAGGGACAGAGAAACAGGGCCACCACGGGTCTCAGCCCACAGCTCCTCAGCCTCCCACGAAGCACAGCGCCAGTGTGGCAGCCCACTATCGCACAACTGCTCAGGAGCCCTTGACCAAGCACCAGAGAGGTAGGGGAGGACGAGACATCTCAGGAAGTTCTTGAACCTTATCTGTTCATGAGCTGAACTATCCGCCTGTCTTCTAGACCACTCCAAGGAAAGAGAGGTGTCCAGCTTCCTACCCCAAGGTCTCTCTTTCTCCCTAGGTGCCCTGGCAACTCTCCAGTCCCTCCCAACCCCAGTGTCCTGCCAGGTCAGGAAGAAGACTGCAGGGGGTGGGGGAATGCAGGCTGAGCTCCCCCATCTTCTGTGTGTAACAAGGACAAATCCCAGGCCCTTGCTTGAGTGCCATGGAGTTGGGAGGATGCTCTCCCTCACAGTGTTGCTAGGAGATATCAGTGCCTAAGGTACATGGCCATGTTTTCTATGGTGACTGAAAGACCTGAGCCACCCCACCCCTCTAGGCCTCTGCCAGAAAGGCCCTTCCTCTCTCTCCTGGGTAGGCTCTTCACTCAGCGGCTCCCTGGCTGCTACAGGAACAATGGCAGACATCTCTGCTTAGGGGTCCACCTTGAAATGATCAGGGAAGGGGCGAGCCATCCATCACCCAGAAGACCAAGGCCTGAAAAAAAGAGGGAGACTGCCTTAGGCCTCCTGCGCCCTCCCCCCTCCCCCTCCCCCCTATTCTGACAGAAGCTGCCTGCTCCTGGAGTCCCTCCCACTTCCCCAGATCCTGTGGGACAGGGCTGCCAGGCTGCTCTTGGCTGGTAGATGGGTCTTACCGGGGTCATCGCAGGTGCTGCAGGGAGCCTGGGCAGACAGGGAGGAAGGGAGAAGCAGGCTGTAGGGGAAAGAGAGAGCTGTAACCAATGATTTCCTGGTCTTCATGTCTGCAGACCCAGAGCCTCAGGGACGCCCCAGGCAGGGTTAGGGGAGCAAGAGGGAGAGCAGGATGAGCAGGCAGAGAGGACAGTCCCCTGCCCCATCCCCACAGTGCAGGGGGCAGCTTGGGGAAGGGCTGTGCAGACCTGCGGAGACTACCCGTGGGCCCCCATGCAAAGAAGGGGCCAGACTCGAGGTGAGGCTCAGAAAGGAACTGTCCATTTTATCTGACCACCAGACACAGGGACGAGTCCTTACTCCTCTTGGACCTTCCTGGGGGCTCACTGGCCCAATCCTCTCCCGTTCAGGGTTCAGGTTGCACCTCAGGAAGCTCTACAAAAGAAAAGAGAGACTTGAGGCCTGGAAGATGGGAGGGAGGGGCTCCCTGTCTGTGTGTGTGTGGTGCTGACCCTCCCAGTCGCCATGGCCGCCCAATACCCCATCATGGAACCACCCCCAGGGAACACGGGAGAGGCTCGCCTACCTTTTCAGTTTCCCAGCTTGGCTAAGCAGCAGGTGTGTCAGGGTGCATTCCCTATTCCCACAAACAAGTCAGCCCCACCAGCCCCCTTTCCAACCTGCGGGCGGGCGGGCGGGCGCCTACCTTCCTGCACAGGGCCTGGTAAATCCTGCGGCTGCATCCCCTCTTTCGCGTTCCCCCACTTTCTGCCAAGGGGAGGCAACAGGTTTGCCAGACTCTGGTGATTCTCTGGACGCAGAGGCAGAACAGGACTGGGCTGGGAAGGTTTTTTGCGGTATGGGATGCGGTACCTTGTGCCCTCCGCGGAGGCCTAAAATGGAGGGGCCCGGGGCGTCCCGCCTGCGCCCCCCGCCGCGGTCTCGGGGCACCGCGCGGCCACCCACGGTCCTGCATGCGGCCGCCTGGCGCGGGTGACACGGGCGGCGCGGATGGCGCTGTCCGCCCGAGGGGCCGCCGCGGTGGTGACCTGCGGTGGCTCACTCGATCCGCACCTGCAGGCGGACGTTGAGCATCACCGAGGCCACCATGTAGAAGTAGGGGAAGTTCACCCGCAGCCGCCAGGCCAGGTCGAAGAAGGTGAGCAGCGTGCGCGTGAGCCCCTTGCAGAAGGCGCCGTAGGAGCCGCGCGTCGCCGCCCAACGCGACAGCCGCATCGCCAGGCCGGATAGGGCCGCCGCCGCCGCCGCAGCCGACAGGGCCGTCGTCACCGCCATAGGCCTGGCTCACCCGCTCGCCTGCTGCACAACCCGCTCAGTGCGCCGGGCCGCGCCGAGCCACGGTGCCCCACGCTGTCCGCAGCCCCGCCCTCGGGCTCCGGGGCCTCTGCAGCCTCCGGTGCTCCACGCCCCACGCCCAGCCGCCTCACTTGCTCTCCGCCCTCTTGGCAGACCTGCGGCTGCTCAGCTCCGCCCCTCTCGCCGCAGGCTCTGGGCAGAAGACCTCCCCCAGGTCCAGTAGGTTTCCGTGTTCCATCGCTGCTGCAGAGTCGCTGCAGTGCTTTGGCCAAGCATGTTTCGCCTCACTGCACAGTCCCGCGGATGGGAACCCTCTCTCCACGAAGTTTCGCTCCTCCCAAGTGCCTGTCCCACCTGTACAGCTTGCTGTTCTTCCTAGCATGAATAGTGTGTCGCTAGGATTCGTTGTTGGGGAATATTCTAGAATGGAAGGGGTTGAGGACTAGCTCGTTGAGGACTTTTGCTAATGCCTTAGGAAACTATATCCAGAAGTTGTCTTCTTATGCACACTAACAACCTTCTTCTATCGTCTCCCTAGGAAGCCTGGCCAAAGGACTCATTGCACCTTTCATTATGGGCATAGTGCACTTAACTACCCCACGCAGTGCCATCAAATCAGTGGTGCATGCGTTCTTTTCCTTTTCTCTTGCATCTGCTGGTTGCCCTTTCATGTTAGCATCTAATCTTTATATCAGCAGGTTAAACCAAATCTAACCCAAAGCCAGATCGTCTCGGGAAATGCCAGGCAATGGTGACCGGGAAACAGCCAAGATTCCACATTGCAGCCTGTTGCTCAGCTACTGCGTTCAGTGGGTTAGGTACAGTAAGCACATTTTCATCTTAGGATATTTTCAACTTAAAATTGATTTATCCAGATGTAACCTCAGTGTAAATCAAAGATCATCTGTGCATATTCATATGAAATAGAGTGATTCTTCTATCTTATTCTTATTTTACAACACATTTTGAGTTATTCTAGGGGTTGTACATATCCATACAACTGTAGAATCAAATTGTGAGTATGAAAGGCATTGCTCAAAATTGTGTTAAATATATCTATTTTAGGAGAAACTGGGACCATTTCTATGCTGATTGTTTTAAGTCATGAACAGAGTCTGTCTTTGTGATTTTATTTCTTTGACTGAAATGTGTATGTTTGGCATTTAGATCCTTTATACACTTGTTATAGGCACTCTAAAACACTAATTACTAATTTTCTTTGAAAGCATTAGAAATGACTTTAGGCTTTTAGTCTCATCTTCCATGTTCATTATTAGTATATAGGAATGGATCTTTGTGTGTATGTAAACATGTATGCATGTGTCTGTATTCCTGGTGGATACACATGCATGTGTAGGTGTTCATGCATTTCTGTGTGCGGGGGACACTGTAGTTTTTTGGACTGTCTCTTAATAACTAAGAGCTCTCCAAGTACACCAAAAGGGCCAGTGAGCCTCAGGGATCTGTTGGAATTCAAAACATGTGCTGCTGCCAGGTATGATCGCACATGTCTTTGATTCCAAACAACCTTGAGGGAGAGGCAGGCAGACCTTTGTAAGTTCGAGTCCCAGACCAGTCAAGCGTACATGGTGAGACTATACAAAAAACAAAACAAAACAAAAAAAACCAAACTCAACAAACAAACCAAAAACAACAAACACCCTTGTGCCTTCATGCCTGGCTTTTTCTTTTCTTTCTTTTTTTTTTTTTTGATTTTTTGAGACAGGGTTTCTCTGTGGTTTTGGAGGCTTTCCTGGTACTAGCTCTTGTGGACCAGGCTGTCCTGGAATTCACAGAGATCCACCTGCCTCTGTCTCCCGAGTGCTGGAATTAAAGACGTGCGCCACCACCACCCGGCTCCATGCCTGGCTTTCCCATGTGTTCTGGGATATAAACTTTGTGCTTTACTTTGTATAGACTTTACTTTGTGAGCCATCCTCCTACCCATGAGATACACACTTCTGTGCATTCATCTTGTGTCCAGTGAAGAACTTAAATTCTTAGTTTGTTTTTAGGAACCTTTTTGTCAATACTGTGAAACTTGGTACAAATTAGTGCAGTTCTTTTTTTTTTTTTGTCCTTTCCAATCTTTATATCCGTTCCCTGTCTCATTGCAATGAATAGAATTCACAGCGCTGGGCTGAATGAAGAGAGTTGGCTACTCTAATGGGTGGGTATTGGCAAATGCATTTTCTAAGCCGCTGATGCTGAATATCTTTAAAAAGTATTATTATAAAAAAGCCGGTCCGTGGTGGCACACACTTTTAATCCCAGCACTCAGGAGGCAGAGACAGGTGGATCTCTGTGAGTTCAAGACCAGCCTGGTCTACAGAGCGAGTGCCAGGACAGGCTCCAAAGCTATTACAGAGAAACCTGTCTCGAAAAGCCAAAAAATTAAAAGTATTATAATGTCAGGCATGGTGGTGCACACCTTTAATCCCAGCACTTGGGAGGCAGAGACAGGCAGATCTCTGAGTGTGAGGCCAGCCTGGCCTATAAAGACAGTTCTAGGATAGCTAGGGTTACACAGAAAAACCCTGTCTCGAAAAACCAAAAAAGTATTATTGTAAACTTTCATATATCTAACATTTTGATTCAGTCTCAGTCTGTAGCCATACTTGCCTGGAACTTACTATGTAGCCTGGGCTGGCCTTACTTTTGTGTTACTATTTTAATTACATTGGAAATAAACAATGGTTCTTATGCCAAACACAAAGAAATGTGTCTATATACATGCATGCTTTCAGGGGCACATGCCTGTATGTGTGTGTGTGCACGTGTGAGTATGTGCGCGCACGTGCAGATGCATGTTTGTACATGCAGAGGCCAGAAGAAGTTACCTATCTCAGCACTGGAGTTACTGATGGGTATCTGCTTAATACGTGGATTGTTATGTAGTCATGGGAGCTGAACTCCATTTTTCATTATTGATGTCCTCATGATTGTACATCAATTACTCTTAACTGCTAAGCCAGCTCTCCAGTCCCTACTGAAAGAATTCTTTCAAGTAGTATTGCATATAAACTACAATTTAACCTCAATTGTTTTCACTTATTACAGTTCTAGACTTTTCAGTCTACAATGTTAGTGCCTAGGTATGAAAATATAAAACACCACAAGATACATGAATTTGTGTTATGGTTGTAGTTTAAAAAAACTTCAAACAAGCCTTAATTTTTAGAGGAGGTAAGTAGCAAGAGTAAGCATGGTAGTACATGCTTGCTATCCTGGAAACTGGGAGGCTGAGGTAGGATGAAGCTCAGGGTGACCTACATAGTGAGTTCAAGCCCAGCCTAGAGCACCTAGCAAGAACTTGCCTCAATATCTGAGGTTTAGATTGCTAATAAAGATATTTATTAAGTTCTTTAAAGTAGTTTCTTTCAAGTATTAGAGATCAACTCTTGTAGTATGATGCTAGTTAACTGAAATACAAATATCTTTTTTTTGTTTTTTTGCGACAGGGTTTCTCTGTGAAACAACCCTAGCTGTCCTGGAACTCACTCTGTAGAGTAGGCTTGTCTCGAACTCAAAGATCTGCCTGTCTCTGCCTCCTGAGTTCTGGGATTAAAGGCATGCGCCACCAACGCCCGGCTGAAATATAAATATCTTTATCCTTCTAGATCAGCACCTTTATTATAAAACATCCTTCCTTTAACACTATTGAGATAAAGTTTTATACTGGGAGACAAAGTTTGGTCCAATATAACCCTCCTTATAATCAGGGTCTTCCAGGGAGCCACTGAACAGATCAAATAATAATTATCTGAGCGATTTAAACTTTATGTAAGTTCCTCCTGCATTTGACAGTTCTGGTGACAGTCAGGCTAATGTTTTCACCTTGAATGTGTGTTGTTAGTTCCTCCAACTATGTCAGAAGTAGAGACTGGGGACCAGAAGGAAGACAAGTAGAAACACCACATACATGGCCTGTTTTCTCAGATTCTCCCAACCATTTCCTGACAAACACAAACATTTGACTTATTTTTATGGCCCTAAAATGCTGATTGCAATGATTTGCCAAGAGTTTACTGATATTTTGGAGGAGAGAATTATATGTGGTTTTTACTTTGTCATTTTTAGCTTGTCAGGTTTTGATGGAAAAAAATGGATAATTAAAATATTACTGTAGTGTTTTAGACATCAATCCCTCCTGGATTCATTGTCCTTGTTGCTTATGTCTTGAGTTAACTGGCTGGACTATTTTATCAATGTTGTTTTCCTTGTAACACGGAGAATTTTGAGTAACAATGGGCAAATATTTTATAAAATGTTAGAACAATTTAGTAATTATATGATACCAGAAATTATATGTATATTATATTACTATATATGATTAGATATTGGATATATATGATATTGGAAAAGTAACATACAAATAACATTATACAGACTAAGATTTATACACACACACTTTCCAAGTTATTTTGTATTTAAATCTCAGGTGTGTCTTTTGTTGACATTATTCAGTTTGATCATATTTTCTTTTTTAAATTCAGCTAGAGAGATGGCTCAGTAGTTAAGAGCATTGTTTGCTCTTTCAGAGGACGAAGGTTCAATTCTCAGCAACCACTTGGCCACTCACAACCCTCTGTAACTCCAGTCCTAAGAGATCTGATGCTCTTTTCTGGCCTCTGTGGGCATCTCACACATGTGTTGTACAGACAAATACGCAGGCAAAACACCCATACACATAACAGTCTTAAAAAAGAAAAAAATCAGTTCAGACAGTGTTTACATTTTCATTGACTATTTAGCTCATTCTAATTTAATTCAACTAGGGTTTGGGAAAAGGCTCAGTGGTTAAAAGCTCTTCAAGAGGTCCTAGGTTTGAGTTCCAGTATCCACCGGGTGACTCACAGGTCTTCTGGCCTTCTCGGGCAACAGGAATGCACTTGCTACTCAGAATATATACTCAGGCAAAAGTGATTCATATAACTTCCAAAATTTTATTAATGTGACTTCCAGAAACACAGGATGTACAGTGTCCATTTTGCTATTTTCTGTATTTTATGTTTTCTGTGTCTTATATCTCAATATTTTATTGACTTTTATTTTAAATAGATATTGTTCTGGCACATAATTTCACTTTATTTTGCATGTATGTGTGTTCATGGATATGTGAAGACTACAGAACAAACTTGAATATCATTCCTCAGGAGACATCCTTATTATTTACCTGTGTGTGTGTGTGTGTGTGTGTGTGTGTGTGTGTGCGCGCGCGCGCGCTTGCCTGTATATGTGTATGTGTAGGCCATAGATTGACATAATATCTTCCTCAATTGCCTT